ATTAGATTGAAATGCCACTTGAAATCTTTGAATCATTAGAAATGAGTGTGGCATAAATGACACAAGGTGATCCTTCTTTTGCAGCATTCAATAAGCTCTTATACCTACAAACATAGATTTAATTGTATTAGAATTGTGATTTTTTACTTGATTAACTACATTCATAGTTATACTTTCAAAAAAATTAAAAGTATAAGAAATCCAATGTACTTGAGGATTATATTTTTTTAACCATGATAAGCCTAAAATGATTAGATTAAAAAAAGATCTTATGATATTAATTACGAAAAAACTATTATGACCATTTTTTATTACTTCTATATGAAGGGTTTTGTGAGTAACATCTCCAAAAGACAACGGACGACCATCTATGACTTCTATGTGAACAAATTTAGTTTTCTTTACTAAAAACATGCTAAGTCTTTTAGCAAATTCTTCATCTAAGAAAAATGATGAGGCTCCTAAATCTAACAAGGTAGAGGCTTTGTAATATATAGGTCCTAAAATACTATTTAATGTAAAACAAGGAGAGGGTTCTAACGAGAGAATAAGATCTTCATTAAGTATTGTATAAGGTTTCAGTCACGCAACCCCTATTATAACTGGACAAACTCATTTTCTAATATATTCTCTTTTTTGATATTCATACTCCTCATTTTATAATTGTATTGCTTCTTTTGACAATGTTGAGCAGTGTGCTTAGATTCTCCATGATATAAGCACAATTCTTCCTGACGGCAATAAGTCTTTTTTTTCCTTAGTAAGACATTTGAAATATACTGCATCAATTTGTGTATCCTCTACTTTTGAATGTATGTATTGAAGAGACATTGATATTGCCATTGAATTATAGTAACGTTGAGGCCTACTTATCCGACTCTCAGATCAAAATTTGAAAAGTTGATTGTCACACTTCATAGCAAAGTCAATTGCTTGACTCAATATTTGAGGATCAGATAAGTTGACCATCAATTTCTTTACTTCATATTGTAATTTATAGAGAAATTGGCTAATAAGTGCAACATCATCCCTCTCGATATCAGTTATAAGTTGTCGAAATTGTAAAGCATATAATATTACAAATCGATTACTTTTTTTATAAAATACAAATCTTATTGGTTGCAACATGAGTTGCATCATGTTCTCCATACATGGATTGAAACTCTATTGAAAAAGCCTCCAAATTATTCAATATTGAACCTTGTCATTCAAGAAAAGATGAAAACCATGATAATATTAAATATAAAAGAAGTATATCAATGAATCTAACTTGTGATCTTGAAGTTGGATAGCTTTGGACTTGAATTTCAATCAGAAGTTGTACTTGATTGATAAATCCTTGAAACTTGGATCTTATACTATCAAACTTCTCAAGCAAGGCAACACTTGGTTCTCTAGTATTGAAATGATGTTCTGTCATAGGAAAAGAGATGTGATTTGGTGTAGATGTTGAAGCGGCTCCAATCATATTTGTATCTTCACTTCTTGTCATTTTAGTTGCTTCACATGGCAATAAATTAAGTTGATGCATTACAAGCATCAACTTCTTCAATTGTTCTTGCATTTGTACCATTGCACTCTTCATTTCAAAAAGATCTGCTATGATAACACTTAGAAAAGAAAAAAAAATATATATCTAATATCACTCAAGACAAACAAAAAGAAGGACTTGAGAACAAAGAAGGTACTAAGAATAATATTAGTTTAAAAGAAGGTAATCCACAACTTCTAATATGCATATGTCTTATCAAAAGAAAGGGATAATCTACTCTTAATCAACAGAAGACAAAGCTCTAATATTGTAAGTATATACTTATCAATCTATGAAGGACATGAACTTGAAAAAAGATGTATAAATCTGGAAAATATGTGTCAAAAGAAAGTGACAAAATAGAAATAAAGTAGTATGTATATTAAAAGAAAAATGGAATTGTTATTACCAAAAGACAAAGAAAACTAGAGATTCTTGAATCTAGACTCAAAGCAAGAAAGGAATTGACAAGAATGAAGAGGACTTCATTCTTGCCTCTTTATATTCTATCTAACTAAGAGCTACATGGCAATGTTCTAAAGGACTTCTAATATACATTGACTTTGCATGATACATGCTTTAGCTTATAAGACAAGTTTTCTATGTATGGGCCATATAATTAGCTTGTTCTTCAAGCTATCAACATGTGTGGCACATGGTCAACTTGTTGACCATTTTTTAAACTAAAAAATCAATTATAAATATCTATAAAGTCAAAGTAATATCTATGAAGCTTCTAGAAAGCTTTTAAAGAAGATATTATGGAATTAATCTTCTTTTATCTACTTTTATCTAATTATACAGGTTTACATGTATATATCTATGATAATGTCAAATCTTATTATACTATATAACAAAAATATCACACCTTATATATTAGAAATAGGAAGTGATTGACAATGGATTGGCTACTTTTGTGTTGATATGTACTAATGCTCTTATAGCATTTAATTGATAGTATGAAGATGATTAGTTGTAAAGAGACAAAGAAAGGTTTCTTTTCTAAATAATCTTTGATGATAAAAAAAATAATTTGATTATATCAAAAGATGCCTATTAAATCCAATGTAGCTCAAATTAGACCAAGTTATGAAGCTGTTAACAACCTTTACACTTATCATCACTCTATAAAATCTTTGAATAATATAAAGAACTATAACTAACTTGCATTATCAATGTTGTAAATTCCTTGTAGCCAACATTGTACTTAATTTTAATATGATTGCAATTGGTCAAGCACTAGCTTCTTGTTTAGTAAATTTATAATTTAGTAACAATTGTCAAAATACTAGTGTGCATTTACATTTTAGATACTATCATAATTTTGAACACCAAAGAAATAGTTATTGCCTAATAAAAAATCCCGCTATCTTGAGCGGTTCCAAAATACTTCTTCCCTACTTGAAAAATATCTAGGCATTCTTTGATCCCATATTAGAGGTAGAGAGAATTACTCAAAGGATTTGTACTCAATTAGGCTCATTGTTGATTTAGGACAAAGATACAAAAGATCCTATCTAAAAAATCAAAGTACCAAAAACTAAATATGGAATTGTCAAATATATGTTTTATAAAGCCTAATGAAAGTATTTGATCAATACATCAAATAATAAAATCTTTATTGGTAAAAGTAGTCAAACACTATTCTAAAAGGATATAATAAATCAATAATGTTTATCATAATGAACAATAAACAACTAACATATTGAATAGAAATATATTGTGACAAGTTGAGACTGCTTCAACTCCACTCACAAAGAAGTCAATATGGAGATGGAAAATATAGGGCATCAAATACTACTATCTATATAAATCAAACAAAGAGCATACATTCTTGAAATAATTACTTATTGACCAAGCAAAGATTTGAGTCCTATTAACTATTTCTAAAAATTATATTGAATGAAAGGCAAGTGGCATCAAAAACAACCATCTTATCTTATGTACTTAGTACCATGGACATCTTATACAATGATTGTTTTATTTTACTTAGTTTTCATGTTGCTTCTCTATTACTTTGTTTGTTTATAAATCATTGAATGAATGATGCTTGAAGTGAGAGCTCGTATCTACAAAACATGTTTAGGTTTTGTCAATATCGACTGTCATGTTTGCAATATTATATGTTAGTGAGATCATTTGGATGAAATTTATTAAGATGATAAAACATTAAAGCTTATGATTCATATCCTTGAATTAGTTTAGTGGTTTGATTTGATGATAAGTATATTTGTTTTAGTCTAATTCTTGATTTTTTATTTTATTATTTGTTTTTTTAATATAAAACTTTGATATAAGATGTTTCTTAATTTTATTTCTAAATATGATGCTTCTTTTATTTATAATATTTTATCACATATAAGATTAATTTTAAAATTATATATATATATATATATATATATATAGAGAGAGAGAGAGAGAGAGAGAGAGAGAGAGAGAGAAAAGACTTGTTAAAGTTACATCTTAATTATGTTAAAGCCTTCATCTCTCCCTCTCCTTTCCACTAAATGATTCAAATTGTATTAATTCCATGTTCTCCATTTTCTATTCTTGTACTTCATTCTCAACCATTGTTCCAATCTCCAATGCCACTACTATATCTTAAATCCACTCCTTGTCTTGACTCCACTTTGTCTCTAATTTATTATAAGTATGTGTAATTAAAAAATAACATTTAACTATGCATGTAGACGTGATCACTATAATAAAACATAAAATTTATAAATATATTTTATATGTTTATGTATATTTTATTATAAAATATTGATAAAATATCATTTATAGTTTAGTAAAAAATAATTTTTTAAAAAATAAAATAATAAATTTTACTATTATACTTTGTTAATTTAAGATGCTAATTTCACTCTCAACTATTTGATGGAGAAGTCTAGTTTTATTATATCATGAGGAACGTTTTATCACAACAATAGTAATTTTTTAAAATATAATAAAGTAAAATCAAGTATATTGATTAGGTGAATTATAATGTTAATATTAATCTTTGAAATTAGAATTACAAATGTACTCATTTGAAAAAAAATATTTATTTGGATAGTTATGGTTCTATTAAAAATGAAAAGGTTGTAGCTACAATTGTTACTATTATTACAAATTTGTTTACACACATAATTTTAAGAAATAGCTTTAATCCATATGCAAAACTAGTAACTTTTTTTCTCTTTATCCATTTTTTGAAGAAAAAGAAAAAGAAAAAAGAAGAAAAAAGAAAAGAAAACATATATATATATATATATATATATATTTTCTTGTATTAGGCATTATTCTACACGCATAGGCGTTTAGATTAGTCCTGGGTTTAGGAACTAACAATGTGAGGGAAATGGACCAAGAAATCTTCATGAAATGGAGATTTTAGGATCATGCGCAAGATTTTAGTTTCTGTAGAAGACAAAGGCACGGTTGAAGGTGGGACTCTGCGACCGAACCTGGGGGAGGGGGGGGTATAACCCGCAGGAGGAATGGATCATTGCTCGAGGTTTCTGCATCCAGTCTTCTTCGTCATCTGCTGCTACCTCCGTCTCCAGTTCAGTGATACAGAGCTCAATCTCACTCTTCACCGCCTCTCTTCAAGCGTGTAGGGTTTTGCCGTGTCCTCCTTGAGGTAGATCATTTGACGAGCAAGGCTTTCAACTGAGATGCGTCATCCTTCATTTTTCCGGCTTACAAGTGTGCCCTCGAAACATTGTTTGTGCGCGTGCAGGTGTGGTATTTTTACGTTGTGGTGGAGTTATTTCGAAACTTTCAGGCAAAGATGAGCGCCGGAAGAAGGAATAAAATGAACTTGGGAGGCTTTGTACGTTATGCTTGTCATTGCTGTGAGCGTTATGGTGCGCTGTCGGTTTGCCTGTTAGGTTTTCCTCTGAGAGGGTTTCCTTTTTGGTGACGAAGGTCGTCGTTTCAGATAGGCTGCGGAGGGAGGATCGTTGTTTGATTTGAAGGATTTGGAGATTGAAGGAGAAGTTAGGATTCCTGTTTTTGCACTTATTTTTGGATTTTGTCCATGGCGATGGACGATCTGTCCGGCCTAATCTGCCGCTGTTGCAGCAGCGCTTGCAGCAGCGACTCTATATTCCGCTCTCCTCGTCACGCTAGCTAATCATTAACCGTTCGAGTGCGTGTCTGGTTCGTCGGTGTCCATCGGAGGCTGTCTTTGACTCTTCCTTGTGTGACAAAGGATTTGTTCCAGCCATCTGATGTATGCGTACAATCTGGACTTATTCTGCGTGGTAGCTTGAGTGTCGTGGTGGTGGAGTTAAGGTGTGATAGCCAGATAATAGTCTTCGTTTCCATTTTCCCCCTGGTGGTATTAGCTAAGTAAGTTGTGCAGGGGTACGTAAGATCGGCATTCTGCTTTCCGCGTTGCTGTGAATGTGTTTCTGCTTGCAAGTCTGATTTCAGTTTCTTTCCCTCCCACGTGGTTGGAATCGCCATCGGTGGTAGTTGGTCCCACCGACTGTTTCGATACTCTGGTCACTGTGTGCAGGGTCTGTGAATCCATCAAACCCACATCAGTAGTGCGTCACCCCCTTGGCGATGCTTTACGTTTCCGACAGCGCCAAGTCTTACTAATCTGAATGTTTACACGGCATTGGTCCTTTGACACTGCACACATCTGTGGCTGATTTGTAAGCGTACCTACGCAGCTGTGCTCAGTCTCAAACTCTTCAAATGTGCTGTCTTTCTTCACTGTCATGACCGCGCTTCCGGGCTGCTGCATACCAGATAGATTGAAGGCCGTGGCCAACCTCTTTCCAAAAAGATCTACACTTTATCCCCGAGAAAAGCTTCACCCTGCGCGGTAAGCTGAGACAGTGCGCTGTCCCTTGGGATCACTCTTCTCTGTCAAGCTTCAATCTATAGACGTTTACCTATTGACACTTCGCTCCTACCCATATGCACCTGTGCAGTGAGGTCCAGGTCGCGGAAGTACATAGCTAAGCCGTCGAGTCTGTCGGTTCACATTACTATTTAATGTCAACCAATTCCCTCCCCCGTCTCCTGTTCCGTAGTCCCTAAATTCCTCTATTGAAACAAGCCAAACCCCATTGGAAGTTGTCGAACCTTTTAGGACTGTGCCTGCCTCTCTTCTGCCCTGTCCATTCTTGTATGTGACTTTTATTTCTGCACTGTCAACTTCTGAATTCTTCTCCGAGTTGATCAGTTTATGTATTTTTAGAACCTTAAAAATTGAATACCATGATTATGAATAATTAAGTGAATGTGTTATTTTGTTTTTGCATGAGTAGTGTTTTTTTTTTTTTTGTTTGTTTGTTTGTTGTGTAGTGTGTAAATTAGTTGTATATAATTATGAAAAGTTGGATAAGAAATGAAATTTTGATTTTTGTTGGATGGTAATGCTTAATGAATTGGTGATAGGAGGATAAGGTATTATTCATAAGTGAAAGGAGAAGAATATAAGAGTAGATTGAAGAGAGCATTTGTACAATATAATACCAATTGTAAGATGATATAAGGAAGAGTTTATAAGTTGGAATTTGTATAGTTTGTGAAGTTGTAAGTATGTGGACTAGAGAAGGTCTTGGATTAGAGAGAGGGATAATGATAAATAGAAGAAAATTATTGCATGATTTTAAGTGTAATTTTTAAGATTAAATATGCCACTCATAAATACTTGAAGTATTTAGGATTGTGAGTTTGGACTTTTTTGAAAAGTGGATTTTGAACATTATTAAACAGGTGTAATATTTGACATATTTGTGGATGAAAGTTTGGATCTAATCAAAATATGCATTGATATAAGATGTACAAGTTTTGATTCTATTATTTGTTATGTTTAGGTATCTTGATTGTGTAATTAAAGGATTAAATTTGAATAATCACAAGTAATCTATCATGGCCAATTGTGCAATTGGTTATTTGGAAGGACTTGGATCTACATCAAGAAAAGAGCACAAGAAGGTGTAAAGTATTTATATGCAATGTCAAATCTTGATTAAAAGAATGGAGGATTTATTGAAGACAAAATACATGTTGAATAGAAACCAATGTACTAGGTTGTTCAAGCAACTTGTTCAAGTGATGGAAGTATTTGACAAGATATTGACTTATGATGACAACATTGGAAAGATGTGGCTTATATATGTTGAGTTGCATGTTGTGGTAAGCAAAAGCTTTTTATTGTTGGAAAATTGTGGAGATGAAAAATGGTGTGTAGCAGCTATCTTTCAAATGAAGAACAAAGAAAGTATTAGAAAAATCCATTTAGATTTGGTTCTTTGTTGCAATGGAACAAGTGATGTCATGGTAATGCATTATTCAAAAGAATTTAAAGGCATTCCACGTATTGTGTGCAATGTTGCTACATTTGATGAAGTTGAAGGAGATGATGCAATTCTCTATAAGAGGTTGATTGATGGAAGCCAAGATGATTGTTTGGAAGAATATGGATTAGCTAAATATCTATTGCAAAGATGGAAAGACTTAGCTCGCATTGAAGGTGGAGGGTTAGATGCTTTGGAACTTTCAAACAACATTGAGAGCTTAAAAATTGGTTGTTGTATAGGTAGTGGTACAAGTAGAGTTGTTTATAGAGCAAAGAGGTTTGGAATATTGAATGCCACTAAGAAAATAGTTGGTATCTTCAAAGAATATGTTCTTATTGAAGTGGGAATTTTAGCAAGTATAAGCCATCCCAACTTTGTGAAGTATTTTTTTGCTACAAAAGTAGACACTAATAAATTTGGTGAGAGTTATCATATGCAAGGGAGAAATAAAACTTTGTATTTAGTAACAAAATTAATGGATATGAGTTTGGTTGGTATGTTAAAGAAAAAAAAAATCTATGGCATATAGTTTGCTCATTGATATTATGTATCAAGTTGCAAAAGGAATGTGTTATTTGCATGACATGCAAATTGCACATCAAGGTCTCAAGCCAGACAACATACTTGTAAGTTTTAAAAAAGAAAAAATCAAAAACAATGGTAAAGAATGTGCATTTGTTAAGACAAGTGATTTTGGGACATCTAAGATCAATGTTGGAAGGACCCCGAAAAGAAAAAGTAATCATATTATTTATGGCACACTAGGATATGTGGCTCCAAAAATATTACAGAATGAAGACAAGGCAATGAAAACATGTGCTTTTGAAGCAAATGTATTTTCATTTGCAATGACATGTTCAGAGATTCTTTCGAGAAAAAAACCATTTCCTAGAATTCATAAACGAGAAGAACTATTGAAAAGGATAAAAGAAAGAGAAAGACTAGAGTTACCTTCAAATTATAATGAGTTGAGTGAGTTGATTGAAGAATGTTGGAGTTTTAATCCTTCACAACATCCAAAGTTTGGAGATATTTGTGACAGACTTGCAAGTTTGAAGACAAAGTTTTTAATTGGTTTCTATGAAAATAAAGGCCCTTCTTTTAGTAGTTCAAAGAAGACTAATCACCAAGTTATAGAAAAGAAAGAAACATGTGGTGACAATGAAGTGGTAAAGTTTGGAATTATTCATGTTTTCTTTGTTTGATTGATTGGTGTAGACTTGAAACAGATTCATATAGTTGAATGATGTATGTATAAAGAATATGTTGTATATAACAATATTATACAAAAATATGTATAATAAATATGTTTTGATATAACAACTATGGTCGTTTGTATAGGTATGTTTGCAAGAAGATCAACTGGTAGGTAGATAAGAATATTTAAACAAGTTATTAGAGCTATGCCAAAAAGGTATAAAAATAATATGTCTTATTGGCACATGTGGAATGGGCAAGAAAACAATAGCAAAGTTTACATATAATAATGTGAAGTGTATGTATGATGCCTCATGCTTTGTTAAAAACATGCAAAATAGTCGTAATAACTACACCATTTGTTGCAATATTTTGAAAGAACTCAAGATTAAGGAAAAACCAAAAACTTTGGAAGATGCACAAGTATTATTGAAATCTCACTTGAGGTCAAAGAAAACCATCTTAGTGTTTGATGATGTGAAGGAACAAAGTGAAATTGAAGACATTGTGCTTATAGATGAGTTTTGTGCAAGCAATGGAAGTACTTTGATTGTAACTACACGTAATTTGAATTCCATGAAGCATTGTTCTATAAAAATTCATGGAATGGATATTGAAGAACTTGAAGAAGGTACGAGTTTAGAGTTGTTTATTACTCATTCTCATGGAAAGCAAGTTGAATTGTCTAATGAATTATCCAAAGAACTTGATGATGTAGGAAAAAAGATTATAAAAGCTTGCAATGGCCTATCTTTGAGCTTGAAAGTTATGGGAGCATTTTTGAGAGGACAAAAGAGACTAAGATGTTAAGAGCAAGCTTTACAAAGGTTGAAAAGAGCAAGAAATGTAGATGGAGATGAAAAAAATAGTAACTATAAGATTTGAACAATATTGAGAGTAAGCTTTGATTACTTAAAAGTTGAAGAAAAGAACATGTTTTTGGATATTTGTTGTTCTTTTTACTAGTGATGTGTATCCACATGGGATGTCAAAAGAAAGAGCATTGCAAATATGGAAAAACAATGAAGGATTGGATTTGGAGCAAGATGTAGAGGATACATTGGACACATTGATTAGTCATTTATTGGTGAAAATAGGTGAAGATGGAATCATAAGAATGCATGACGATTTACGAGACATGGGTCGAATGATTATTGAAACAGACAATGTATATAAAGACACAAGAATATGGAAAATGAGTATAGTGCAAACAAACGGATTCTCAATAAAGATACTTGACTTGACACATATATAAATGACATGTATAAAATCAAGAATGATGATAAATAGTTTGAATGTAGTATTTGTAGATATGATGTTGTATCATTGTTTTGTGAGGTGATATGATAGTATATAGTTAATTGTAATATATGTTGTGTTGATATTGAGTTTATATTGTTATTAAACAAAGAAAAAGTGAGTATGTTGAAAATTTTAATTTGGTTGTGTTTGATTATTTGATAGTTGGAAGGTTTATGTTACAACAAGAAAGAGAATATTATACAAAATAATATTAGAGATATAAGTTATTCTTTGTTAAGACTATTGAGCTATACGGTTGACAAAAATATATTGAAAGATCTTACAAAAGTGTGGAGTACATTAATAATATTAGTAAAGCAATCATGCAAATTAAAATCACTTATGCTATGTATAGATTTGCCAAAAAATTTGTCTAATAATATTGTAGGTAATTTAGGTTGTAAAATCTTTGACAAAGAAGCTTTGTAAAAGTTGAAGAATTTAAATGTTTTATAATTGAAGAATTGTGAGTTCATAGAAAAATTTCAAATTCATTATTTTTAATGAATACATTATTGGAACTTGATTTAGAAGATTGCTCAAATTTAAAAACATTATCAAAAAGTATGCATAGTTTAACATCCTTAAGTGTTTTGAATTTGAAAAGATGCAGAAGGTTAAAGACACTACCAAGCTTGATAGGAAACTTGATTTCTATGTAATGGTTAAGTATTGAAGGATGCAATAGATTGACATCACTGTCTAAGGAGTTACACAATCATACAACTTTGACAACATTTGATATAAAAGAATGCAAGAACTTGACATCATTGCCAAAGGAGTTGGGCAACCTTACATCTTTGACAACATTTGATATAAGTTGGTGTGAAAAATTGACATCATTACCAAAGGAGTTGGACAACCTTACATCTTTGACAATATTTGATATAAAAGAATGCCGAAACTTGACATCATTGCCAAAGGAATTGGACAACCTTACATCTTTGACAATATTTGATATAAGTGAATGTGAGAACTTGACATCATTGCCAAAGGAATTGGGCAACCTAACATCTTTGACAACATTTAAAATGAAATAGTGTAAGAACTTGACATCATTGCAAAAAAGAGTTGGGCAACCTTATATCTTTGATAACATTTGATATACATGGATGTACGAACTTGACATCATTACCAAAAGAGTTAGACAACCTTACATCTTTGACAATATTTGATATAAGTTGGTGTGAGAAATTGACATCATTACCAAAGGAGTTGGGCAACCTTATATCTTTGACAATATTTGATATAAAAGAATGCAAGAACTTGACATCATTGCCAAAGGAATTGGACAACCTTTCATCTTTGATAATATTTGATATAAGTGAGTATGAGAACTTGACATCATTGCCATAGGAGTTGGGCAACCTAACATCTTTGACAACATTTCAAATGAAATAGTATAAAAACTTGACATCATTGCCAAAAGAGTTGAGCAACCTTATATCTTTGATAACATTTGATATACATGGATGCAAGAACTTGACATCATTACCAAAAGAGTTGGGCAACCTTACATCTTTGACAACATTTGATATAAGTTGGTATGAGAAATTGACATCATTACCAAAAGAGTTGGGCGACCTTATATCTTTGACAATATTTGATATAAAAGAATGCCGGAACTTGACATCATTACCAAAGGAATTGGACAACCTTACATCTTTGATAATATTTGATATAAGTGAGTATGAGAACTTGACATCATTGCCATAGGAGTTGGGCAACCTAACATCTTTGACAACATTTCAAATGAAATAGTGTAAGAACTAAACATCATTGCTAAAAGAGTTGGGCAACCTTATATCTTTGATAACATTTGATATACATGGATGCAAGAACTTGACATCATTACCAAAAGAGTTGGACAACCTTACATCTTTGACAACATTTGATATAAGTTGGTATGAGAAATTGACATCATTACCA